CTTTATGCTTAGGACGTGTAGGTAACCTATCTCTGGAAAACACTCCGATGAAATGAGGTATTTTCGTTATGCATGCATGTTTTATAATTTCATAATCGTACAGCGCTCTTTTGGGTAACGTAGCTATTAGTTTTTTTTTTCGTTTTACAGTTTTCTTCAGAGATTTAAGTGCTCCTTTTCTTTTATACAAACTACCTCCTTGTGAAGAGAGATATAGCCCTTTACCTTTCTCGATTTTATACGATCCACCTTTACTAGGAGCGAGATATAATCCTCTACCCAAATGTGAAGATTCATTTCTACTGAATTCGCTAACGGTTTTTACAACGTTAGCAATACCACCCGTCAGCGCTCCTAGTGCAGATAAACCGGCAAAAATTGGTATCAACGGTAACATCCCACCAGTTTTCGGTATAGGTATGACACGAGGTATCCGAGTTTTCTTGCCGTTTATACGGAATATTTTTTTAGCTGCCGTCAAACATTTTTTTGTCAGTTTCATCAGGTTTTTTTCTTTTATATTTTTTTAAATACATTTTTAGCTGCCTTAACAGCAGCGGTGAATCCACATCCTGCTCCCATTTTTCGTTTTGCCTTCATACCCGTAGTGACTAACCACGCTGCTGCCTTCTCTTTTAAACTAGAATCTTTTGATTTGAATCTATTCCAAGCCTGGTTTTTTAATATAAAATATGCTTTCTGACGGTCTGCCAAATAGTTGCTACGATCATAAGCGATATCGTGTTCTTCACACGCTGAATCTAGAGGGTCGATACCTTTATCACCACGATTTAATCGTTTATTCAATTTTGTACCAGGCCCACAGTACTGATAACCTAAACATGATGTTTAAAATATTTATTAAATGTATTCAATGATATGTATTGTTTATAATCACCTGGCAAATGAATTTCAAATGGTAATTTATTTATAAGTGTGTTAATTATACCTCCGCCTTTATTCTTGTTGTTTCTTCGAACGGGTGACATCGTGTACTGATTACGTTCTCAGTGTTACAGAGATATTTATAAAGAAGTTTGTCGACCAAGAAATAAAACTCACAGTGGAAAATGTCGACCCGCCTACGAATCTCGAATCTCGACATGGTAAGCTTTTGCCAAATACCTGTCTAGTTGTTGGCCCTTCCGGATGCGGTAAAACAAATTTGATTTATGCATTATTGACCAATATTAATGGTATACGATTTCATAATGTTTATATATACTCAAAAACACTCGAACAACCTAAATATAAAATGCTTTGTGAAATTTTAAAAGATGTAGAGGGCGTGCAGTTATTCACTTTTCATGAAAACGATGAGGTTATCCCACCAGAAAAAGCACTACCAGATTCTGTTTTTGTATTTAATGATATATTATGTGAAAATCAAAATATCGTACGTTCTTACTACTCACGTTGTAGACATAGTTTAGAGTTTTGTACTTTGTGTTGGAGTAGGGGAAGATTTAATTTTGTCGTGATTATTAAGGACTGTGAACGGGATAACGGTCGGTATCACCATGGTTTTGATACATTTGTTGTTATATAAAACAATGTAGTTCAATTTAACCATGGAAGGTGAAAGTACAGTGTTGAACGAATTAGCTATTGCCAAGGAAAACATTAAACGTAAATTTGAAGCATTGAAAAGAGGTGAAGCTGATATTCAATCTTATGTATCACAAACATTTAAACCGATAATCGAACCTCTGAACAAATTACATAGCAAATCACAATCTTCCGAAGCCGAAAATGATGAAATTTCAAACGCAATTGATGATAACCTACATTTAGCTTCCGATGACCAGACTGGAATTTTTCGAAAATTAGAAGAAAATGAAAAAGATAAAATATATAGTCAAAAAAAATATTCTAATGGTGTTATTAAATTAGGTCAAGAAGAAGTGGAATTTAAAAACAAGTCAATAATTATCAAAGATGCATCTTATCAGCTAACGCCAGGACTTTCTGAGTTATTGTTTTCTAGATATCCAATGCAATACACTGATAAGGATTTAAATACATATAAATCAATACTGATTCAAACTTCAGCACATTTGACACTGGACGGGTCAAAAATTAAGAAAGGTGGCACAAAGTATACACAAATTATTACCAAGCTCTTTTCCTCGGGAACGGGCGTACAATTACAAACACATAATTTAGTATATTTAAATGATCCGAATGAGTTGGTTGATAGGTTACGACTTCTTTTAGCCTCTCAATCTGCGGGAAACACTGGGGTTTCAAACGAAATATTATCTATTTTTGAAGAACTCTATGAATCCGGCATAACAAAGAAAATACCAAATGTCTAAACGTGACATAGCATTCGAACTTCACAGACCAGCTAGGAAAAATTATACAAGACGAAGAGTAAACGTGTACGGAAAAAACGATTTATGGCAGGCAGACTTGGTCGAGATGATACCACATTCAAAGGAAAACAATGGATATAATTATATCCTATGTGTGCTTGATTGTTTTACAAAGTTCGCCTGGGCTTTACCATTAAAAACAAAAACTGGTGGTGAGGTGACCAAGGCCATGTTACTTACTGATGGGTCGCCCAAACTGCTACAAGTAGATAACGGAAAAGAATTTTATAATTTAAAATTTGATACGTTAATGTCCAAGTTTAATATAAAAAAGTATAGCACCTATTCTACAACAAAAGCCTGTTTTGTTGAAAGGTTTAATCGCACTCTGAAAACAAACATGTATAGAGAGTTTACTGCTCGAGGTTCACATAAATGGATATCTATTTTACCCATGCTGATAGATAATTACAACAATACAAGGCATAGAACGATCGGTATGACACCATTGCAGGCAGAAAAAAATCCTTCACTAGTGACTTTGAAACAACGTGCAATCACTAATACAAAAGTAAAATTTCATGTTGGCGATAAAGTTCGAATAAGCACTCACAAAGGAGTTTTTACAAAAGGATATTTACCCAATTGGTCAACAGAAATATTCACAATAGTAAAAATAAACAAAACAATACCACCAACTTATCAGTTACATGATTATAACGATGATCCAATAGCTGGTTGTTTTTATAACGAAGAAATATCTAAAACAAATTATCCTAATGATTATTTAATTGAAACAATTGTACGAAAGAAGGGGAATCAGATATATGTCAAGTGGGTGGGGTTTGACGATTCTCATAATTCATGGATAAATAAGGGAGATATTAAAAAATAGTTCCAGTGGTAGTTCAGATGTGAATCTGTTCGGTACAGCAAATTATTATAAAAACTAATTAATCTACAAACATGTCATCGGCTGTTCTGGACGTGCAGTGCGTTGTCGGAGTCAACAACAAGTGGTTTATTAAAGAAATGTCTATCGTAGACACTGAGACATCGTACAATCAACACTGGATATTTAAAAATACATCTTTAAAACAAGATGCAAAAAGTCGAAGTGTAAACAGTTGGCTGCAACGGCTGCATCACGGTTTGTCTCCGGATTACGGTGATGTGGAGTATGAATAAATACATAAAATATTCCAATCGATCAAATTCGACAGAATTTACGTTAAAGGTTTGCAGAAACAACGGATCATCATCGAGTTTATGCCACACGCCACCGTCTACGACTTGGAACTCTTTGAATGTCCTCGGATTTGTTCATTGACTGGACAATCACTACCATGCTGTATTTTTCATAAAGATTTAAATCCACTACAATGTACATTGAATAAAGCATTTGCATTAAAAAAATGGTATGTTGATAATTTAAGATTATAATAATATATTTTTTTTATTTAATAAACAATAATAATATTTAAAAATTGTTTTATTATTTTTTCCAATACTTAAAGTGTAATTTAAAATATAATGTTTAAGATTATAATAATTTTTTTATTTAATAAACAATAATAATATTTGAAAATTGTTTTATTTTTATTTATTTTTATGTGTTTACGTATCCATATATTATTAGGTTGGAATTTGCAAGAACTAAATATATTAAAATTTACTAATTTTACGTGTTTATACATAAACAATATATTTATAAAAAATATTCACATTACATTTACACAGTATTTACAGATATTTGTTGAATTAAATATAATCATTTAAACAGCAAAATGATATAAAAATGATCAAATAATAGTATAACCTAATCATTTAATCAGAAAAAATGATATGAAAATACATTAATAAACTAACTTAAAATATATTTACAGATATTTACATAGTATTACTATAGGTATTAAAATTGATATGAAAAAATACAATTATTTGTACGTAAAACTTAATATCCGCTATCCTCCATCATTTCGACCAACTCTGCTTCTAAACGATCAAGTTCTTTAGCTTCCCTACAAAAATTATATAATAATATTAGTAAAATAAAATTATTCTTTATTTGTTTAACTCACTCTATACGAAAGTGGCCATGAGCCTAGGTATTAATTTGATTCTCAAGCACAACCCTTTTATCATCACTGCGGTTAAGAGCAAGCTTTACTGATGAGATAGTTTTTATTTCATGTTTATAAGATCTTTACTCTAAATGGTGTATATTGATTTGATGTTGCAGTGATTCCTGTTAATTTAAACTGTTTAGATTGAATAACTGCTAATTTTCGTGCTTTATCCTCATCATCCGGTGTACCACTCCACAACATTTTTTATGATCCTCAAACGTCATATGATACTTTACTACAGGTTGTCGGATACCTTTGGCTTTGATTATGTCATTCTCACCAACAATCTTGAAAGAATATGACTTAGCTTTTAAAGCTATAAATTCACTAATAACTTTACCCTCTGCCTCATCAGTAAAAGTTCCAGGCAACTTTTTCCTCTCAATACAATAGCATGGATGGTCGATCGGTAAATTCGAAGTATCCATCCGTTTTAAAAGATTGGGCTTTTTTAATAAATCAGCATAGAAATCTGCTGTTTTTATGTAATATATCAATGAATCTGAAAAAGTGCATATAAGCATGAAAACAATATAAATATTATAAAAACAGTTTAGGTAGTATCTGTATCCGTATACATCAATTCAATGTTTGAACCATAAATCTTAATCATATAGTTGTAGAGAAAATCATAAATTAATGTCTTTGATGTGTCCAAAATCGAAAACCCTACATATATTGGCTTATCAAATTTCAATTCATCCATGTCTAAATGTATTGCCGTAAGGTTTTGACTATAAATTGTAATATCTCTAAAAGTATTTCGGTTGATTAATTTTGCACACGTCTTATCATCAGACACCAATTGCATTTTTAATCTATTACGAACATTTTCCATTGTCTTGCCTGGAGAATTAGAACAAAACTTTGAAAGTTTGAAAGTTAAAAAGTTTAAAAATAAACTTACCAAAGACTGCATTATTCATTAACTTGAAGAACTCTCTTTCGAAATCATTCCTTGCGTTCTTCCTCATATTGGTGTTCAATTTAATATACTTTGAGAGCCATGCTGATTGATTGAATTTAAAAACTGTATGTACCTACCTATTAAATTATAATAGCATTACATTTTATAATAAATATTATAATAACTAAAGTGTTACCTTTTCCAATATTAAACCCGCTTTCAGAGCTTGTTTTAATGACATGTAATGCACAACGTAGTGTTTTTTAGGGTTCAAATTTTCCACGAGTTTTTTTATTTTCGATCCAGGAGGGATTATCCTCTCTAGAAGGTAAGGTAAATCAATATGCGCGTCATGTAATGATTTAGGATATGCAAGGTCGACTTCTAACGAATATCCAATCTCTGACGTATCGTTTGAATTTTCCAACAATTTTAAAATGTTTTTAACGCTTAGATATCCTTCATACCATGAAAACCCATCCTTTGGTAAAAATTGACTCATTGCCCAGCCGTAACTAAAAAAAAATTTAATACAAAATTAATAAATTATTATTAATATTATTACATAATATGATACCCACAGATTTGTTGCGTCCAAGTATGCGATCCATGAGTTAAGCTTTGAGGGATCGTAGTCTGGAACCTTGCTATTGTTCGCCTGAGCATATCGCATGCTCGCTTGTGTAAGTCCACCACGGACTCCAGCTTCCATCATTAATAATTGATCATAATCAGACAAAAGCTCTAATTGAACTTCAGTATATTTAAGCATACAATCAAAAGACATCCCGGGTGCAGTATAATAATAATTCGGATCCAAGCCATACGTGTCCAAACATAAATCTCTGAAGTTTTCAAAAACGTCACAATCAACTTTCATATACCAGTCGCTATATTCACCTAAGCTATTAAAGTTGAAATGATTCCATACTCTTTTTGCATGTTCATAATCTTCGTCACTTAAATCCGTTTCGGTTAATGTATTATAAAAATCCTCTTTTCTCGGCAAACAATTCTCGTGTAATTTTTCCCACCCGTCCGTATATTCATAAGGGTAGATCCCTTTCCTTGTTACAAGTTCCATGTCAGTGCTATTAAATATTTTACATGTGTCCCTGAATTTTAATTTATCTCCTTTAGATAAATTTGTTACAAGTTTTTCCAAACTCGTTGCCATAAATCTGAAAGTGTCGACAAAACGAATTTGAAAAGTGTTTGAAACGTATTTCGTAAAAGAGATAAATTTTTCTTCAGTGTTTGGTATTACATTAATAGATTTTGTATCAAATCCTAACTGCAATACCAAAAAATGAGAGTCATAACCTGATAGATTATGGAAAAAAATAGGAACAAAGTTAGGTTTCACCATTTGCAAATTACATTTGCTGCAAACAGTTCCTCTGTATTTTCCAGTCAAATGGTCATGATCCCTAATAGGTAAATTATTATTATTATTAAATTTTGATTTACATAACGGACATGTTCCTCGGTCTGCGATTTCTCGATGTAATTTTTTTTCCTCATCAGTCATTTTAATCGGTACGTTTGTGTTTAATATATTTTCTATCTTAAGTGCAACTTTGACAATTTCTTCCATAAACTTTTTGGCTACGTCACCTTTCTCCATACTCGAATTTCCTCTAAAAATAATTGGTGCCGTCTCTATGTCATATTTTTCCAACAACTCCGTAGGTATATCGTCGTTTGGTTTTACATGGTAACAATAGCTCATAACATCATGGTGGTGAATAATTCTAGTATTTTTATAATTTATATTTTCTTCATCGTTTTTTTCTAAAATTGCCTCAAAGTCGGCATATATGGCAAATGGATGCTTCCGTGTGCGATTAAAATTTTCAAATTTCATAAAAGTGTTTGGACTTGGAAGTACTGGTAGTAGCGGCTTATTTTTGTCGCAATTCAGTTTGTGATCTTTAAGTTGCTGTTCCGCGCTAACTCCACAGCGGTTAATTCCAAAGTATGACTTGAAACAGCGCTTACATATTAACGCAACGTGACCGTTTTGCGACATTTGTGAACCAACAAATTTAGATAGATTTATTATTCGACAGTAATGCTCGTTACCCGAGCCGTCTCCAAATAACAATAAATCATGGTGGTCAGTTCTTTCGACTTCACACACTTTTATGGGATATATCGTGTAATTACATATTTTTTTTTGAACCATTTTTCTTTTTGAAAATTTTTTTACATTATTTGTATGTGTAGGATCGCCTTGTTTTATGCTATATACATTAACCGATACATTATTTATTTTTTCAAATTTATCGATATCTTTCATTGTTACGGGGAAATTTATTTTGGAAAAGTCATAGATATGTTCGACTTCTGTATAATTTCGTCCTATTCTCTTGGCATGCACGGGATTTACATGTTTCGCTAATATGCTATATTTAAAGCACTTGTTATCGTTATTTTGCACATTAACGGTTGCTTTTTTATTTTCGATGAATTCCGGTAATGGTATATATGATGCGCCTCCTAAAGGTGTATGTCGATTTATATTTAATATTAGACCGTCTATACTATCTAATGTAAATCCGCTGCCTTTAAGCGCCATTATTTCCTGTTCTTTAAGTATAGTGTTAAAATCTATTTCTAACATTTCGTTTATATTATAGTCGTTAAATATTGGCCTTGTGCTGGTCTCAAAGGCGCGATTTTCTTTTATTTCGGTGTGCGGTTTAATGTATGTAGCCTCCAGTTTAATATTATATTTTATCGGCGACTGACGAAGTGCACCGTCGATTATTTCAACTATTTCATGGTTTGAAATTTCTAAAATTTCTAGGACGTCTTTAATATTGTCAATGTTTTTTTTGAAATATTCGGTACAAAGCCCCTTAAACGCAGACTTTGTTTTGACGAATTTCGATGATGTTGTTGTTGCGTTCATTCGTGCACGTTTATTTTGTACCTACATTAGGCAAAGAATTTTCAGTATATTTACGTTTACCTAAATAATTTATAAGTTTTATATAACAAATAAAATATATTTATATTAAATATTATGTACTTTGTTTTGAAGATGCAGCTTGTATATTCTCGACGAAAATGTTTGGGGCTATTTCAATAATTTCCGGTTCATTGTTATCAGCTAAAAAATAAATCAATATATATTTATCATATTACATGCATATATTAATATTTAATACTTTTACATAATCCATTATTTTCTGCTTTATTTAACACATCAATACAATAACTATCGTCGTCTTCTTCAAACGTAATATTGTCAATATCTAAACAAAAAATAATAATTATTTGTGAATCAAGATATACCTATCTATTTAATATAACATACTTTTACGCATCTCATTATGTTCAACCTTATCCAACACATCAATACAATAGCCATCACTGCTGTTTTCATACATTAAATTATCATTAAACGCGTTGTTATCATCTACAATAAAAAATTTTAATTAAACACGATATATTTACTATATATATATATATTATATACTTTCACGCGATCCACTTTTTTCAGTCTTATCTAATACTGCTACACCATCAACATCTTTAAAAGTGATATCATATTATGTAAAATATTAAACACTAAATTATACATAAATATATAATTCTTTCTTACTTGTAGTTGCTGCTGTACTTGTAACTGGCTGTGCGTTACTGTTTAACAAACCTAAAATGGAACGATAATATATTATTTAAAATGCGCTATATTTCTTATATACTACAACCATGTACATGTGTTTGTATAAGCTAAACCCCTTAAAACGCTCACCATGTCTTTATTATATGACACTAGTATTCGAATAACGTTTATTAAATAAATTGATAAAAGATTATCACCCGGTACTGCCCGCAACATGTAAACAAAAGAGACAGCTGTCGCGTCATGTTGATCGAATCCGTGATACTGAGTACCTAACCGTCGTGTACTTGGCTTATCGTTGTAGATAAAAAAAATTATTCCCGCCGATAAATTTACTCACCATGAATACTTTTCTCGTGTCGTCTGAGAGCATCCTTTCTGCTAAAAACAGTGTTGCATATAATACACTTAAAAGCTTCAATGGTATTATTACGACACTTTAAATGTCTGTTTAAAGAGTCATTCCTCGAGAAAGTACAATTACACTGATCGCACTTAAACATTTTTAATATGCACAAAATAGAAGTAACCTGTGACACAAATGACTGACGGATCGTTACTAACGCATCTGATAATGGTCGAGACAAATAATAATTTTTTTATACACGTTTCAAAGATTTTTGCTTAAATGCATTTTTTTTTTCTCTTAAACATAATATTGCGTGTGTGTGTGTGTGTGTGTGTGTGTGGGTGAGATTTTATATAGTGTTATAAATATTATGGGTGACATATGTTTTGAAAAAAATGCTTATTGCTGTTTTAATTTTTCTCGAAACATATTACTTATGATAAATCTCAGTGCACTATTAGTTTGTCAGTTGATGTGAAATATTATTTAAAAAATGTCAGACAACAACGATAGTCAGGTATCTGATATAAACACACCTGATATTTCGTCAGGCTTTATTGACTTTTTAGATAATGGCGAGTTTGATAAAATGGTAAGTTTAATTAAGTATAATATATTATTTGCATATAATTAAAAATAATACATTTTGTAGCTATCAAATACACCGAGACGGGTCTATTATAGCAATTTATTAAGCCCAGAGGAAACAGTTGACGAAGTTAGTATGATATAATATTGATTAATAATGTAGCACTTACCTTAATGACGTTATGTGTTGTTATAGACTATAAAAGATATTGAGCATAAATCTGAGGATATAACCATCAAAGGAAAACCAAATGATGTGGACTTTTGGGGAGGTGAAGAAGCTGACAAACTATGTCTCGGAGCACTGGAAAAATTTGTCTGGGGTGAAGATTACGCCGATGATGAAAAAATGATGTTAGAAGTTTGTACATAACACGTATTATATATTTGTAAAATAAAAATTCGTAAAAAAAAAAAAAAAAACTTTTGACAATTATTACAAATCTTCATCAGATGATATATCAGGTGAATACACTTCGGACATTTCTTCATC